TCCCTCGGGACGTGGTCGACGTGGTCTGTGGTCGACGTGGTCGGCTCGCTTAATGGCTCAGGCGCTCGCTTGGTGGCTCGATGCAGTCGTACGAGTGCGTAGAGTCGGAGTTGTAGTCGGCCAAGCGTAGTCGGAGGCTGACAGAGTTACCCAGCTTATGGAGGCCAAGCCCGTGTCCGACAAGGCGAGGCGCAGTCCGAGGTCTTCCTCCCGCGTGCATGCATGGCGATCCTTGTTGATTTGCTTGCTGACCGATGAGATCTCATCGTCTTGGCACTTGGGCTACATTCGGGCGTACAGCATGTCATGCATGCACGGACGTGCGAATTTTGCCTTGGTTAAATATCTTGCATGGCCCCGTATATTCTTCTTGTTTGCTTGTGATGGAGCGATGCTCTGGCCGAATCTTCATGGTGCTGTAGAGTAGACTAGACGTATACATGGCGCAAGTCGAGGAGCGAGCGACGAAGTCCCCGAACATAGCTCGAGATCCCTTTAGAAGGAGCGTCTGGTCAGCGATGTATGGCATTATCTGGTCGGCGTTGACGAAGTTGCCCGGCGGTCGAGCTTTCCGAACTGTGGTCATGGTGGCGGTCGCGGTTGTCATAGCATCGTTCTTTGCGACGATCATCGTTGCGACGCGGCAGGCTTGCTTGATGGTTCGGGCGGCTTGTCTCGACGGCTTTGACGTGTTCTGCATGGTGTCCGAGTACATAAACAGCTGGAACGGCTGGTGCATGCCCACGTGAGCTCCAAATTCTCGATTATTTTTGGACGGACACGTTGATTGGTGTTGGTTCAGTAACTTCCTTTATTTGCATACGGCCAACATGCACGTACAGATCCGATACCGTGGCAGCAGCTACCGGAGTATTTGCATGCGGCCAACATGCACGTACAGATGCAAGTCCGGTCTGGCGAGAAGGCCCAGAGCACGGAGTGATCTGGTGAGTCCCCGAGCGCGGAGTGGTCTGGCGAGAAATCCCAGAGCACGGAGTGGTCTGGCGAGTCCCCGAGCATGAGCGTGGTCTGGCCAGAGTCCCCGAGCACGAGCGTGGCCTAGCCAGAGTCCTCGAGCACCATAGTGGTCTTGGCGAACCCTGAAGCATGAGCTCGCTGACCGAACTGTGTTCCTAAAAAATAAACACGGAGAGCGGTAGTACATGATGATGTACGAAATATATCGACCTATCTGTAGGAGGTGAAGTAAACACTTGGTGTTCGGTTGGCGATGAATTATACTTGGTGTAATATTCGAAAAATAACATTAGCTGTTTTTAGCCCTTTTGTTATGTAGTGGCGTAGCGCGATGTATTAACCTGTCCTGAAGAATGCGCCAGCCCTGGGCTGACCAACATCTCGTAGCGCGAGGTACGGAACGCTGCCGCACGTAGAGTGCCAGTGTTACCAGGGAGCGACTGCCGACTACCCGTAGCGCAGAGGGCGGACTCTCATGCACGCGTGGGGTGAAGCCGGAGACAGCGCCGGCTCTGGGATTCTCAAGCAGGAAGGAAAACATATCGGCGAACCGTTGTAAAAACTTATACATGTTTTGGATTGTATGTATGGAGAAAATTCGACGTGGAGCGCACCCTAAGGGTGGTCGGTGGAGGTGTATGATGATCGAAGAAATTTTCAATTAAAAATAATACTTAGCTTTATTGACGACCGGTGGGTGTAGTCGGCGTGTTGCGATGTTCGAGAGATGGCTTGACGTGTCGTTGGCGATGAAGTTGTCCGGTCCTCGAGCTTTCCCGCCTGTCGTCATGACGGTGGTCGCGATTGTCGTAGCGCCGTTCTTTGCGGCGATCATTATTGCGACGTGGTCTGGTGGTCGAGGTGGTCGGAGCTCGGCGGAGCCGCTCGAGACGTGGTCGACGTGGTCGGAGCTCAGCGGAGCCGCTCGGGACGTGGTCGACGTGGTCGGAGCTCGGCGGGGCCGCTCGGGACGTGGTCGACGTGGTCGGAACTCGGCGTGGCTCGCTTAGCGGCTCGCTCCGTGGCTCGGCGTGGCTCGCTTGATGGCTCGGACAGCTCCATGTATTCGGACTTTGACGTATTTCATTGTACGTGTTGCATTGTATGGATGCGTCTGATTGGTTGGAGTTCCAGGTTAATGATGGCTGCTCGGCTCCTGCCAAAATAATCACGCATATGTGGGAGATATCTGGACACATACTATCTCATGGGATATAAATTAGAAAATAAATACAAGTATTGACTTAGCTTTGGACGTCGCCCGTCAACTGTTTGTACATGTATATGCACACACGCATGCAGGCTAATTTATCAGCACGTGCATGCTTTGTAGATCATCCAATCCTCGTTTGCTTGCTTGTCGATAGGAAGTCGCAGATAGCAGAGCGTCGTTTAATTTTGCGTGGTGTTCAGACTCCTTGTCTGTCCCGTTGGTGCATGTGTTCAGACTCCTATATGCGCAACTTTTGGCTAGCTTGCTTGCGTAGTCTTCATGTGCTATGGACAAGCCCACGACTGGTCAGAGCTTTCGGCTTCATGACGGACGGATTTGTTCATTGAGCTAGAGACATGACCATGCATATGCACGTCCATAATGAACTGCATGGTCTCATGAATTGGATCATCTACGGCCTTGGCTTGATTGGATCTTCGTGTTATCTTGTTGGTCAGCCTGACGTCACCAGGCTTCAGTCCCAATTGATTTGGCTGATCCGTCGAGACTTGTCGCCGAAAAAGACGCCGAGTAGCCGATGCACAAAACCAAAAGCTTTGAGTAGTAGATTGATCCGTAGGGACACGTCATTGATCGAGTCTCATCAGGTTGTGGGACGCCGCCGTAGCAGATCGAGTTGCCGCGAACGACGTTGATGAAGAAAATCGCCATCTGATTCGTCGGAAGATCAGCACGCACAACCCCTAAAAGGGGACCTCTACCTAGCGCGCCACTGTCGACGAAATATGGTCGACAGTCCACCGAGGGGGGTGCCCGTGGTGGTAGATTATCGGTAGATGGTGCGTGTAATCAGGAACCAGACGGTGACACAAGGCGCAGAGACAGCGATTTAGACAGGTTCGGGCCATCTGGTCGACGTAATACCCTACGTCCTGTGTCTTTGGTGTATTGTATTGAGATGTATATATTAACCTGCCCTCTAGGGGACCTTTGTCTCTCCTTATATACTCCGAAGAGACAAGGTTGCAAGTAAAGTATCCAATTTGGTACTATTACAATATCTAGTACAACTTGTAATCTTGATGTGCATGCCTTGATCTTACGGGCCGGGCCACCTCGGATGGTGCGGCCCATGTACCATCTTGTGGTACCCGGGGTATATCCCCCACACTCTCTGTCTCACTATTTCTATTCATAAGACTAGATTCTATAGATGACAAATCTTCTCTTGATAACTGGCTCTGATCCTAAAGAGGGGAATATAAATTAGGGTTTTAGGATGGCTCCAGGGAGGGGGGTCTGGGCGTTCTTATATAGGCCGGAGTGTTCAACGTGAGCTCTTGGATCAAACCGACTTAAAGGACGGCGTAGATGCAACCTAGGAGACGGTGGGAAACTGACATAGCAACGGGAGGCTGATATGGGGGCCCCACAGGTCGGGTGGTCTCTAGGTGGGGCCGGCCGACCCCATGTGTCAGAGACACGGGCTCCGCTTTGGTGATTCGCCTTCTGAAATCTTCTAGAGTCTTTCCACATCGATTACGTGGCGGAATTCTGTAATTTCCTTTAACGAATAGGTCCCCTTGATAGTTTTCTGGATAAACCCTGCTGAAAACACATATTCGCCAAAACTCATAGAATTTATTAGTTTAAACCCTTATACGTATGTTTGGTGGTGGAATTAAATATAAATACAGGTTATATTGACGGTTTTATAATTGATGTTAGTGGCCGTCAACACTGGGCCAGCATGAAGAACCGGGACTTGATGTGAAACCGCTCGTAGGGGACCTCTGGGAGCATGGCGTCCTCGCCGCGCGTCATGTAGCATGATGACATCTGCCGCTCACCCGTCAACACCTCAATGTAGTTGTGGGTCCTACAGCGTGCGCCTTCGGAGGGGGATGGTGGCGACGACGGCAGGAAGAGCGCGGCGTAGCGGCGCAGGAAGGAGTGGAGCGGCACGCAGTGCTGCGATAGCAGCGTGAAGTAAGCATTGGTGGGGCCGGTTAAGCAGCATGGCTGCCAGTAGGCTACGCGTGACGGTGATGAGGCTAGCATCCGCACGACGTGTGGGCATGGCGGACACGAAGAGACCTGAGAACGAGGGTGTGGGCGGCAAGCACAGGTGCATGGCGGGGTCGGCGCGGACGTACACGCTCAGCCGAACCTCCTTCCCGGCGAAGAAGTGCTCCCAGAGAGGGGCGAAGGTGATGTCGGAGTTGATGAGAAACAAGAACTCCACCTTGGGGCCTTGGCGCCAGCCGCGCTACCTTGGGTGGGCCGACCTAGGCGCCTGCCGCCGCCGCCTCCAGCGCCGTACGGTGGAGTTGGTCGTCAGCCTCCTCCCCCCTGCATCGACGCCCATGCCCGCGACGGCACCTCCACCTGCTCGTGGGTCCCACATGTCACTGAGACAGAGGACAATGTCCTACGTGGCGGTCAACGCCAGCGTGGCATGGTCAAACCCACTCCACGTTGGACAAAACAGCCACGCGCCATGTCTAGGTGCTAAGTGAATGTATTTTATAGTTGGGATACTAGCGCTAGATGATTTTATAGTCGAGGGTCAAAGTTAGATGAACTGATAAAAGAGCCCTCTTAGATTAACATATGTTTGCGATTTCAGGCCTTTGGGTCATGCGAATATGCCATTACAAAAGCATTCGCGTGTGGCCGATTTGCAGACCATACATGAGCATGCCCTTCATGTCACGGATTGTCGCCAGTGTGGGCTTGCTTTTTGCTTTTGAACTGAGGCATATCCCCCAACGCTATATTATGCCCATTAACAGACCTTGAATGAGCTCGTGTATACGTGTGGATCGTCTCGCTTGCACTTCAATGGTCACACTGGTGGCTGGGCACCATTGATCGTCAATGGCACTTCCATTAACTTGCCGCTCTCCTGGCCGCCGGCGATCTCTGACTCCGGATGCTCGATCTCCAGGGACTCCCTCTTGTATTTGTATCTCATCGCCACCCACACGAACAGAGCCATATTGAGCACCGAGAGAAGCAGGAGGAATACGTAGTAGTAGTCAAGGTGGGAGTCATTGAGGTTGTCGCCGATCCAGCTCTTGCCGGCGCTCCCGCGCCCCTTCGTCGCACGGTCGATGAGCGTCACAAGAAGGCTGTTGAGGAAATTGCCGACGCCGAGGCCGCTGGTGAAGAAAGTGGTGCCCAGGCTCCGCATCCCGTCCGGCGACTGGTCATAGAAGAACTCGAGGATGCCCACGGAGTTGAAGACGTCGCCCACGCCCATCAGCACGTACTGCGGCAGCATCCAGAATATGCTCATCGGCACGGTGTCGCCGGCGCGGTGGACGGACCGTTCCCGGATCACGCGCATGCGCCGGACTTCGACGAGGTAGGCGCACGCCACCACCAGCACCTGGAGCGCGCACCCGATGCCCAGGCGCTGGAGGAGCGTGATGCCGCGAGGGTTGCCCGTGCGGCGCCGGACCAGCGGCACCAGCACGCGGTCGTACACCGGGATGGAGAGCAGCATCGAGATGGTGATGAAGCTGCCCAGGGACGCCGCCGGGATGCGCACTCCGCCCATGGAGCGGTCCAGCGTGGTGCCCTGCTTCACGAATAGGGTGTTCACCTGCGCCCAGATCGTGCAGGGCACCAACGTCGACAGCCACACCACGATCATTCCGATAATCAGCTTCACCTCCTCCACCTCGGTCACCGTGCACGGCTGCCGCCGCCTCGTGTCAGACCCAGACCTCAGGGCCGCCCTGTCAAGGAACTGGAACGCCCGTGTGTGGTGCAGCCGCCGCTTCCCCGCCGCGGTGTACCACGCGGTCTCGTGCTCCTGCAGCTCGGCAGCGTCGCCGGGAAGCAGGCGCCTCCTGTTCGCGAACGCCTCGCTGAACACCCTGCCGACCAGCCTCGCCGGGCCGGCGGCCGTCTCCCGCTGGACGGGCTTGTGCCGGTAGAACGGCGTGCCGACGTAGAACAGGAGGAGCGACAGGGCAAGGCCGACGGTGGGGATGGTGTACCCGACGCCCCAGCCGACGTTCTCCTGCACGAAGACGAGGACGAGCACGGCGACAAGGCCGCCGGTGAAGGAGCTGAACATCCACCAGTTGAAGAAGGATGCCTTGACCTCGCGCTCCCGCGCGTCGAAGTCGTCGAACTGGTCCGCGCCGAACGTCGAGATGTTGGGTTTGGTGCCGCCCGCGCCGATGGCCATGGTGTAGAGCGCCCCGTAGAAGAAGGCAACCTGCTGCCGCGTCGCCGCCGCGCAGCCGCCGTCAGGCGTGCAATGCGGGTGGAGGGACTCGAGCGATACAGCCAGCGTTATCAGAACCATTCCCTGCAACAGTTCCGTCAGTCCTAACCAACTGTCTTACATCGAGTTTGAAATATTGTATACAGAAACCGTTTGCCCCCAAATCCAGGATAAATCGGAGCTCTTTCCACCACAACTGAATATTAAGCTGTGGGTTTTTAAATTTTGAAATAAACAAAGAATCATATTTAGCTGTGCATTTTATGGGCAGTGGAAGGCCTTATGCTGTGGAAAGATAGTGGCTCACATAGTTGTGGGCTGTGGGTGAGAAGAGATGAACTGTGGGGCACGACTAAGGATCGAACGGTGTTTTTTGTGATCGGCTCGTTCGCTTGTGTCTCACCACTCAAATCACGTGAAATACCGTCTAATTTAATTGAGCAAGTTTTTGAGTCGATCCAATATCCCAAAATAATTAGAACTTGCATTCTTAATCACTACAGCCTCGGTTCCAAATTATAATTCGTTTCACTTTTTGATCTTAAGTTTGACCACTCGTCTTATTCAAAAATTTGAGCAAAACATCATTTCTTTTATTGTTGCTTGCTTTATTAATAAAAGTTCTTCAAGAATGATTTAAATTTAACTACGTTTGTACAAATTTTTTTTGAATAAGACGAATGGTCAAACTTGAGATAAAAAAAATCAAACGAATTATAATTTATTATGGAAGGAGTACTAATGAGTCATGACGTCCATTGGATTGTGTGTTTAGTTGAATTATTTTGTCCCAACTCTCGTACTCCCTTCATCCCAAATTGTAAGACGTTTGACTTTTTTTTGCCCCAAGTTTGACCACTCATCTTATTCAAAAAATTTGTGCAAATATAGTCAAATTGAAGTTATTCTTGAAGAATTTTTATTAATAAACCAAACCACGACGAAAGAAGTGATATTTTACATAAATTTTTAAATAAGACGAGTGGTCAAACTTGGTGTCAAAAAAATCAAACGTCTTACAATTTGGGATGGATTGAGTACATGATAAATCATTTCAGTCACAAGTAGGGGCAGAGCCCAGAATGCATGAAGCGCGGTGCTTGTGTAACATAGTGTCAGTTAAGTGCCGAAGTACTCAAATTTGGGCTGCCAAGCTGTTCTTCATCGTAACATCGTAAGAGCATCTTCAACAGTCTATTCAGTTAAGCGCTGAAGTACTCAAAATTTTCAGCCACAAACTTTTGTTGATGCATGAGCTTAGCCTGCTTGTTGGAGCGGTTTTTAACAATACCTTTCTTAAGTTTTTGCAGCTTAAATTTTGACAATCCACATTCTCGAAGTTAGATATTTACAATCTCTAACGGATCAAATAGGCATGTGTGTTTAGATCCAAGGGCTAAAGTTTAGTCGTATCACATCGAACGTTCGGGTGCTAAGGAGGACTAAACATGAATTAATTATAAAACTAATTGCACATGAGTAGACTAATTAGTGAGACGAATCCATTAAGCTTAATTAATCCATAATTAGCAAATGTTTACTGTAGACCACCTTATCAAATCATGCCCTAACTAGACTTAATAGATTCGTCTTGCAAATTAACTTCAATCTGTGTAATTAGTTTTGTAATTAGCATATGTTTAATACTCCTAATTGGTATTAAGATTCGACGTGACCGGGCTAAACTTTTGCCAAAGCGAAACAAACACAGCACGGCTACGAGTACTCCTATGTTTGAGAGTGTGTATTCTGACTAACTTTGAAATTGGAGCATAGTAGAATAGAGATGATGTTTGACTAACAAGTTAGCTCTAGCTTTAGGAATGTGAGCTTTTTTAGGGTATATATCGTCAGTCTCAGCGAGCCTCTAAGCCGGGAGGCTCTGCTCGGAAGAGAGTTTCTCCTCCCCCCGTATCTCAGGTCCCCACATCCTACTTCCTACCAAATGATTCTGAAACAAATGAAACTGAAAACTGGTTTACCCAGCTCGAGCTCCTTCATGTAAGTTTACCGTGCTACGGTAGGGACCCGGCCAGAAGAATCCATTTTCGGAGCACTGACATTTCAACACGAGGGTCATAGTTAGTGTAAACACTAGACGTGTTCACAAAAAAAAGTGTAAACACTGGACGGAGAACCAATCATTCATCGACGCAATTGCGGGCGGTGGGCTTTACACGTAGCAGAAAAACTGAAAAACGGATCCAGCATCACATGAACCTTTGTTTGTCTGTACTATATAGTTTGAGAGACTAGAGAGTGACACAGGCGCCCCATTCTCACACGCAACACAAGGATCAGTCTCCAATTGTCCCAGCTGAAACTGAAAGCAGCACGCCAGAAAGATTCCTAATCGGCTAGCTAGCTTGCTTTGGCTCCTCCCGGCCGCTGTCGTCGTGCGTTTTCTTCTCTACTACGACCCTACTCGTCGCAATCCAAACTGACCCAAAGGCGATTGCAGACAAAATACTGGTCACCCGCGTCATGTCACTCCGGCCCTGTTCGTTTCTCTTATAATGCGTATTTTTTAGCTTGTTTTTTTAATCGGAACAGTGTTTTTCTTTCGCAACAAATCATCCAGAACAGTGTTTCGGCTTGTTTTTTCAGTAAAACGAACGGAGCCAGAGTGACAAGAATTTATGGTTGGCCTGATCTAGAATTCCAGCGATTAAAATTTGCAAGCCTGCAGCATGCGATTCTCGCTACAAGAAAAATGCGGTTACGTAGGTTCCCGTTAAGAAATTGGCGACACCAACTACTAACCTAAGTGAAAGCTCTGTCATTCATTCGATTAAGGAGGGTTGTAATTAAGAAAGGAAGAAAACAAGGAAAATTAGTCCGGTGTAATAAGTGTAAGGCAGTGCAGCTGCCTGGTGGGTTGTCCTCAGCAGAGCAGCAACAGAAAACACGAAAACAAGCTCTAGGAAAATCGAACAGCATCAAACTAGGGAACTCCGAACCTGGTGAGGAAAAAAGAGCAACCAGGAACTAACCGCGAGGTAGACGAGTGAGGAGATGGTGAAGGTCCAGAAGCGGCCGAGGAACGTGTCGGCGATGTAGGCGCCGACGATGGGGGTCATCCAGACGGCGCCCGTCCAGTTGTTGACGTTGCGCACCGACGGGACCGTCTCCTCCCGGAGCTGCGTCGTCAGGTACACCACCAGGTTCGACGCCACACCGTAGAACGCCATCCGCTCGAACGACTCATACCCTGTAGCATATAGCATATGGTCAGCCATGCAGGCGCGAGTCCATGATGACAGTCAGGCCAACGGGGAATGGATCGAACGCCAAGAGCCCAAGAGCTGCTAGCTATTACCTACTAGGAAGGAGCAGGCCTTCCAGCGGCCGGTCTGGGAGGCCAGCACCGGCTGGCCGCGGAGGTCGACGGAGCCGTCCTTTGTGTACGCATCTTGCTTGGCTTCCTCTTCCATGGTGTTGAGCTGTCGATGTGTGTGCTCAGACTTGGCTGCCAACCAATCTTGTGGTGTCGAGATTATATATGGCCAAACGGGTCGCTCAGCACGGCACTGGCACGGGCACGGCCAGCCACGGCACTACGCGGCACGGCATGTTAGCTGTGCCATGCCTGATAGTGCCGCCGTGCCGACTCAGCGGCCCAGGCACGACACTATCATGGCTTAGGCGTGCCGTGCCGTGCCACTAGGCACGGCAGCCCGTAGTGCTTGTGCCGGCACTGGCACTAAAAGTGCCAAACACCTCAGAAACTTCAGAATTTTAACAGAAACTTGTACAATACATCAAACTTTAGAAGATCACACTTTGACAGCAGAGATACAAGTTCAAACTTTAATAGAAACTTCAGAAGATCACAAACACAGACGGCCGAACAGCTCCGCAGCGTCCTCGCGCAGGTCATCCTCGTCGTCATCTCCGGCTAGCCCGCACATCCGCCTATCATCGTTGGCGCTGACCTCAACTGTCTCGTCGGAGGAGCGGGCCATCGTCACTCGCCGGTGCCCGGTTCCTCAACGGCTTCACACATAAACAAAGAATCAGTAGCAGATCTAGTTAGGGTTAGGGTTAGGGTTAGGGTTTACAGTACCTTGGCGCCCGGAGCACCGGGAACGCCGGCGAAGTCGACGACGCGGGATCCGGCCCTCTGGTTCCTCGACGGATGCGAATCAAGAGGGGACCTACAGGAGGGGAGCACATCAGATCGATATCCAGGAGGGGATAAGAGAGGAAGAGCCAGATCTGGAGGGGAGCAAAGCTCAACTTACCGACATCCGGAGCACCAGAGTTGCCGGGGGCCCGGCGAGGTCGACGATGGTGACGAATGAGATGACGAGGTGGATGACAAGGCTACATCAACGGGGCGAGATCAAGACGAGGCCGTGCCGTGTGCCCGTGGCGGCCAGCAGTGGCTCTAGATGCCACCAGAGGGCGAGAAGAAGAGAGGAGACACCACCGGAGGCGGAGAGGGAGACGAAGAGATGAGAGAGCCGCTCGCAGAGGTTAGAGCGAGAGACAGGAGAGAGAGGGAGCTGGAAACAAATGAGCTAGGGTTTCGTCGATACGGGGCAGCATGGGGGCGCTGGCTTATATAGTCGACCCATCCAACGGTCGGATCCAACAGTCATGAAGGATCTGGGGGAGGGGATCAACGGCCCTCCTTTGCTGGATCCGTGTCAAGGGCGTGCCGACCTGTTAGCCGTGCCGTGCCTGGGCCATGCTAGCGGGCCGAGGTGGCAGCCCAGGCACGGCACTGCTGCCGGGCCGTGCCAAGCACGGGCACGAAGCAGGCGGGGCCGGGCCTGGGGCGTGCTTTTTAGTGCCATGCCCGTGCCGGCCCACCGTGTTAGTGCCATTTGGAAAAGTATAGTCGAGATGGCCTTGGCTGGTACTGGTAGGCCCGCCACCGGGAGCTGGAGCGACGAGACGTGTATGTATATATATATATAGTGCTCTTGGCTGGTGGACCTACTGGCTACGTGTAGATGAGAGATACTTTCTCTGGTCTAGTTAATAAAATAATTTCTAAGGCGTTGATACGACACAGTTTCTAGAGTTATATTTTAAGCATTCATTTATTGTATATTATATTATTTAGATTATAAACATATACAACATTTTAGATTTTTGAGATACATATCTTTTGCGTTGTACTTGCTTAGTGTAAGGAAATTGGACCGATTTTGGTGTTTGATAATTAACGAGATTAAGTTGGACTAATGTGTTTATAATTGTATGTTTTGTAGTTCAATAGGATGCACAGGAGGACTTGGGTTGGTTTGGAACGAGAAGAAGTTGATCAACGCCGAAAAGAAGACACTAGACGAGGTGTGACGAACATAGAAGTGAAGATAGATGTTCAAAGACGCAAAGAAGTTGCCCGAAGACGAAGATTCGCAGGGAAAAGAAGAAAGGGCAGCGGCTGCAGCGTGCACTGGTCACCACCGCTGGCACACCGGTTGCCTCACCGGACATGGTGTCCAGAGAAGCTGCAGCACACAGAAGCAGCAACCAGGGCACCAGGCACACCGGTGTGCACCAGACATGGTGCACCGATTACCATGTCAAGACAGGGTTGCAAGCGGGCGAGAACACCCCAAAGGCCACTGGTCGTCACCGGTGGTACACTGGTCAGAGCACCGATTACGCGTTCCAGAGGCGTTGCAGAAGAGTTGGAGAAGGCCACAATGCACTGGTCATAACCGGTGTAAGCACCAATGTTAGCACCGGTCACCCACTGTGCTGCAACGGTCGGTTCTGACAGTGCAATGGCTAGTCGACGTGACACGCACCGCTCGTGTCCAGGGCAAAGCACTGTAGCACCAGTGCTCACACAGAAGCCTGCGATCAGCATCCAACAGCTAGTTTCAGCTTGGGACTATAAATAACTGTCCCAACCGGAGCTGAAGCAAGGTGCTAGGGTGTTAAGTACACCACCAGCCCGTTCGCTTGCTCGTATCTGACTTATAAGCTATGGCTTATCAGTCAACGAATAATATTTTTCTCTCACACCAAATCAGTCAATAGTACTTTCAGCCATGGCTTATAAGCTAAACCAGCCCAAACGAATAGGGCGCACATTAGTGCTCTCCATATGTATAGGGCTTAAATATGACTTGGTGATTAGCGAAGGTGTTTTACGAAGAGTTTAAGTTAGTTAGAACCACGCTCATATGCGCTTGCTCTAGGCTTTGGCTTAGTTGTTAAATGAGGTTTGCATACCTCTTACCATTCGGTGCTTGCGTGTACCATGTTTGTACTTGACGGGGCTTGTAGTTTTGTGAGACCACACCAACCACGTTTTTGGTATGGCTGTCACTGTGTATCGGAGGGAACAAGGCCCGTGGCATTTTGGCCGGAAGCTTGATAGTGAAGACGGCAGGGAGTGGTCCGGGAGAGACTTGCCGGAAGGAACATCAAAGATCCACTTGCGTGTGGAGAAGGTCCGAGGTTATCCATGGAGTTACCTGACTGGGAGCTTAGCCTTTGCGAGGACTTTCTTGCAAGGGGCTCCAACGAGGACTAGGGAAAATCTTGAGCGCTTCTCGATACCTTGGTAAAAATACCGAAGTTGTCGACGAGAGTTTGCATCTCTACCTCACTTTAGCTTCCGCATTTATATTGCTATCTTGGTTGTGTGCTTTATCTTTCCTAGCTTAGTTGATAGTATTGGAACCTAGGTTGTATAACTCTTTTACGGTAGAGATAGCACCACACTAGCAAAACTATAATTGCACATTTAGATAATTTTACCTAATTACATAGGTTTCGCTAAGGTTAAGAAAAAGAGGCCATAGATAGAAATAGAGTTTTAAATTTCCTAACTCAAACCCCCCCCCCCGTTAGGTGTCATGGTCCTTTCACTTAGATATACGGTATGTCTAAACGTCTTATAGTTTGAAATAGAGGAAGTATTATATTTAATTATAAATCTAACCATATTAGAATATTTATAAATCTAAATATTTCTTTTGAAATGATCAGGAGGGGTTCTAGCCCCTATCCTAGGATATACTGAAAACAAAAGTTATGTACAAACAAGCAATGAGAAGGGCGAAGGTGGCTATCACAATCAGGGACTAAGAAGGAAACAAAGAAAATGAGGAAGGAAACGGTTGGCCAAAGGCTCAAGACAACGAGTCTTTCCATTTCTGAATTCTTGGGAAGTATTTCTTCTTGGCATGGTATAGCATTAAAAAGATGAATTTGCATCGTTGGATAGGGACATGAATCTGCTTGAAAATCTGGTTATTTTTTCCCATCCAGAGGGGCCAACAAAGCAACATGATGATCTCTATTAAGAAAGGCTGATTAATCTAAACTCTTAGTACTCTAAATTGGGGATGGGGTCTAAATTTTGATTGGTTCTTAGATGGATGGACTACTGCTAGAAGACCTTTGTAAAAGGGAAGTGTCGTGGGTTCGTCACCACGACAGGCATCGTTGTTCGTCAGATGTCAGAAGTGTGGGTCTCCGGTAACTCGGGTACTCAAGAACACAAGAGGAGACACGACGATGTATCCCGGTTCAGGCCGTTGGGGCCCTACGTCCAACAGTGAGTAGTTCTTCGTATTTAGGAGCACTCAAATCGGAGGGTTACAACGGAAGAGAAAGAGAGTTTGGTAAGGGATCACTCGGTGCTATCCAACGGCTCGTCAGTGATGAGGTTTCTTTCCCGGCGAGTAAGGGAAATGCTCCTCTCTCTTGCTGGGTTACCGAGGGAGGAACACTATGTTGTTCCTCTCAGTTCCTTTGACCGAACTCGAATTGCTCAGCCCCCTGTCTATGGGAGCTGAACTTGCCCTTATATCCTAAGGACGGTTGGGTACAAGGCGATTTGGGGGCTATGGTCTATGATCTTTGTGTGTTGAGGTCCAGGAGGGCGATGCTACGATGTGGATGAACCTTGGCGTTGTCGTGGAGTCAGGGGAGCTGCAGTGCGCCGCTTGACGTCGTTGGGCCCCTAACACTTGACCGTCAGGTGTTGTCTCCTATGGTTCGGCCTCCACCGGGTAAGCCTTCTCTAGGCTTCCTTGGCGGTGAAGGCACCCCGGCTTGGGGGGCTAATGAGCAGACCTGGGAATCCAGCGCCCCTGAGCCTTTAAGGCGATTTGTCATATTATATCACACCATCTGCATGACCCTACCGAGGGAGCGGTCGACAGCGCCTTGCACCAATTGAACGGGTTGGCATCATGGAGCCCCCAAGGCTGCTAAGGCCTAGGAAGCTCGGTGGGTTGGCTAACGCTCGGGGCGCCAGGCACTGGCCCGAGCGCTAGCTCGGGCTAGAGTCGAGCTAGAGTTAGGCTCGGGCTACCGTCGATCAGGACTCTGGGGCCTTGGTAAGCCCCCCGAGCCCCGAACAAAGGTTGTGGGTGTTCTCGAGCTTTACCCAACTTTTGTCTAGAGGGTACACGCGAGCGTACTCGATGGGTATAGCCCCCGAACGATCCTAGAG